AGGCACAGGCACACACACAGGCACACATACACACACAGGCACACATACACACACACACACAGGCATACACACACACAGGCACACATACACACACACAGGCACACATACACACACACAGGCACACATACACACACACAGGCATACACACACACAGGCACACACACACACAGGCACAGGCATACACACAGGCACACATACACACACAGGCACACATACACACACACAGGCACACATATACACACACAGGCACACATACACACACAGGCACACAAACAGGCACACACACAGGCACACATACACACACAGGCACACAAACAGGCACACACACAGGCACACATACACACACAGGCACAAACACACACACTGAACCGATGTTGACCACTTGTCTGTGTCGCTCTAACATAGAAACACTCGTGGTTATAGGTTGGGGACAAAAGCGGCGAACTGACAGCGCGGCTGAACCTCTCAGACCTGCAGATGGTTCTTGGTCTGAGCTACAGCACAAATAACTCCATGATGTCTGAAAACATTGAACTCGACGGCAGCTTACATGGTGAGTAGCAGCTTTAAAACCCTGAATTCTCACGCTTACGATTTACTTCGCACTTGGGAAAAGAAAGGCTCTTTAAAGTGCTAAGGAAGTGTGTCTGCTGACCTCAGAGAGTGTGACAGAAGATAACTTCTCCTGCTTCTGTGGTTCACACAGTTCAGTTAACCCGTGAACACGGAACACAGCATTTTATAACTCTTACTGTGAACGTAGGAATGCTGAAGGTATAATCAGTTTCTTTGGTTAAAAAAATACTCAAATGCTGTTAAATTAACCTGTAGGTTACTTCAGAAATCTATAGATATGAAGATGCTAGAATGAAAACATTTCGTCTATGCCTTTATATTTCACGTATTTATAATATATCTGATTTTTAGTGAGTTCTTTTTCTCCCCCATTTCACTTCTGATGAAACAGCTTGGGATGGTTGTCTCTTTCTTTAAATCAAAAACCTCAGGAAATCTTCTACCATGGTTCAATGGGTAAAGTATTTGCTGACGGGCCTTATGACCAGAGTTCAAGCCCCAGAACCCACATGGTAGAAAGAACCAACTCCTAAAGTTGTCCTCCGACCTCCATGAGTACTATGGCACATGCACACCCCACCCCAACAATCAATCAATCAATGTAGTTTAAAAAATACATGTGTTCCCAAGCTTACACTGCTGTGGGATGGTCTGTATGTCAAATCTGTTGCTCTGATTGGTCAATAAATAAAACACTGATTGGCCAGTGGCCAGGCAGGAAGTAGGTGGGACAAGGAGAGAGAAGAATACTGGGAAGCAGAAGGCTGAGAGAGAGACACCGCCAGCCACCACCATGACCAGCAGCATGTGAAGACGCCGGTAAGCCACCAGCCATGTGGCAAGGTATAGATTTATGGAAATGGATTAATTTAAGCTATAAGAACAGTTAGCGAGAAGCCTGCCACAGCCATACAGTTTGTATGCAATATAAGTCTCTGTGTTTACTTGGTTGGGTCTGAGTGGCTGTGGGACTGGCGGGTGACAAAGATTTGTCCTGTGGGCAAGACAGGAAAACTCTAGCTACACTTACACTCACAGTTGAGGGCTGGAGAGACAGCTCAGTGGTTAGAGCGCTGGCTGCTCCTCCAGAGGCCCTGGGTTTGAGTCCCAGCACTGACTGACATGGCGGCTCACAACTGTCACCCTAGTTCCAGGGGATCTGATGCCCTGCTCTGCCCCTCAGCACCGGGCAGAAAAGCGGCACACAGACATATGTGCAGGCAAAACACCCATACACAAAAGTGAAAAAAGAGATTCTTGGTCTGAAGAACATTGGCATGAATATTTCAAACTTGAAAGCCAGTGGAAAAAAATTAGCTTTGTCACTGGAGTTTCCCTCTAAACTCCGAGAGGAAGGTGACAGCAGATCTGTACTCATGACCTTAGGATATCCAAAGAGCAGTTCATCAGAGTCTAAAGTGTGGGGTGTGTAATAAATTGCAATTGTGCTCGGTAACTGGTAATTGTAATTGGATAAAGTTTGCCCGTGTTTAACTTGTAAATCGGTATATTGTAGGAATCCTCATCTTTCAAAAGTGTCATGTGTCCTCATGAGCTCCTCTAGCTACAGACCCATGCTAGTGTCTCCTTCACCTCCTCATGTCCCCGGAACCCATTCACTGGAGCGTCAGGGCAGCTAACACCTCCTGTCGAGGTCACTGGGGACCTGTGTTTTCCCAAATAAACTCACCCGGGCTTTAACCGTGGTTTGCTTTTGCTTGCTTCCTGGGCAGTATTTCCTGTAGCTGACCACTCCCCCTGAGCTCCCCCTCTGCACTTCAGGTTACACACCCTGGCTGTCCACTCACAACGCTCTCTCCTCTCTCCCGCCCTCCATCCAGCACCTCTGCCATGCCCGGGGCTCGGTCCCTGAACCTCCTCTACCCTCTCTTTCCCTCTGTCGCTCTTCCCATCTATCATTGGAACAGATTTTATCCTTTTTCCTTCTACTCCATGTTCTAGTTCAGTGCCTTCAATAGAACCTTTTAGAATGGCAGAAAAATTCTTGGGGCTGGAAATGGCTCAGCATTTAAAGTACTGGCTGTTCTTCCAGAAGACCCTGCTTCCATTACCAGCACCTGCATGACATACAGCGCCCGCCCTCTTCTGGCCTCTGAGGGTACCTGTACTCACAGGTACATACAGCACACATATGCAGACACATGAAATTAAAATCTTTAAGAAATGGAAAACACAGATTTTATGAAATATGAATGCTGATCACTTCACAGCTTGTAGTCAGTATTTAACCATAAGGCTAACCCAATAAAGCGAATAAAAATTTCAGAGGATCTGTATCTCATAGATAGCCTGTCCTCAACACAGGGCAATTAAGATGGAAATTAGTATCGAGAAAGTAGCATAGAGGTCTGGACCTAGTGACACACGCCTGTAATTCCCACCACTGAAAGGGCAGTCGAAGGCCAAGCTGGGCAACTCAGTGATGCCAACCTGAAAACTAAAGAGCATTGTGATGTGGCTTAGTGATAGAACACATGCTCATAGCATGCACAAGCACCGAGCCCCACGTACTACTACACACGTGTACACACACACACACACACACACACACACACACACACACACACACACACACACACACACACAAATATAGAGCATCCATTTGAAAACTTAAAAGCATACTTCTAAGTAACTTATAGATTGAGGAAGGAATTCTTAAATAAGATTAAATATAACTTAGAAGTTACAGTGAAAATTAGTATTTCAATTAAAATTTTTATTTTATGTATTTGGATGTTTTGCATGCATGTGTGTGTTTGCCCACATGTGTGCCTGGTGACTGAGGACTCCAGAAGAGGACACTGGGCCCCTGGAACTGGAGTTACAGATGGTTGTGAGCCACCATGTGGCCATGTGGATGTGGGAACTGAGTCCAGGTCCCTCGGCAGAAACAATAAATGCACTGAACCATCTCCTCACGCCTTTGTATTTCCATTCTTGTGGCATGTGACTTATATTGGTTCTTTAGCAAAATTTGTGTTTAAAATAATTTTTTAATCTTTTGTATGTACATGTATGTGTGTATTAAGACAAAATGCAATGGAGATTTTCTTTAAAGTTAAAATTTGGTTCTGAAAAGGTAAGCAAATCTACAAGATTATTTTACATAAAGAGAAATTTAAAAAGAGAAGGGGACATACAAACTAGATGTACAGATTGAAAGTGAAAGGTTTAGTATAATTTTAGAACAATCTGTTTCAAAGCCTAGGAGAAATACCAGTTTCTAGAAACATAACAAATCATAAAGAAATTAGGTTAGTAATTAAGTCTTCCCTCTAGGAAACATGAATACTTAGAGTTGTCCCCATCTTTTGATGGGGTTACACCCTCTACCATGAGCCCATCCTAAGTTGAAATTTTCATAAGTCAAGAATGCATTTAATATGCCTTGCTGGGTGGTGGCACACGCCTTTAATCCCAGCACTCGGGAGGCAGAGGCAGGCGGATCTCTGTGAGTTTGAGGCCAGCCTGGGCTTCACAGAAAAACCCTGTCTCGAAAAAACCAAAACCAAAAAAACCAAGTCTGTGGAAGGGCGTGGCTCAGTGCTAGGGCGCCTCGGAAGCACTGGTGAGGCCTCGGGTAGATCTCTAGCCCCGGGGAAGAAAGAATGCAATGGCAAATGTATGTACAGGGGGCTTACCCAGACAGGTGTCTGTGGTGTTCATATTTTAAAGCCGGATGGGAGGTGTCAGCTGTGCTTTGTATTATGCCCTTTTGTTCTTGGTAGTGGGTTTGTTTGTTTTAAACAAGGTCTTGTTGTGTAGACTGGCTTTGAATTTTGATCCTCCATACTCAGCCATCTATCTGAGTGAGGCTAACATGCAGTGCCATGTCTAGGTATATTATTCTTTAAAAAATTCTGCTTAGGGGCTGGAGAGACGGCTCATTGGTTAAGAGGACTGGCTGCTCTTCCAGAGGACCTGGGTTCAGTTTCCAGCACCCACATGGTGGCTCACAACTGTCTGTAACTCCATCTGTAGTTCCAGGGGAACCAGACACCCCTTTTCTGGACTTTTGGGGCACCAGACATGTACGTGGTGCAGACATACATGCAGACAAGACATCCATGCACGTAAAATAAATCTTTAAAAAAAATACTACTGAATTTTTAAAGGATTGTTTGGTTATAGAAATTCTGTACTTAATATTTAGCAATATGATCGAAAGATGTTTTTGAGACACTTTGCTTTTATTTGACTTGTCTCCTGACTGGCAGGGAACCTGTCTGGAAATAGGAAACCTGGGAAAAACTGTGTGGAACTGGAGTGTTATTTTTAATTCTCTCAAAACTGAAGGCCTACAGCTTTCCCATGATTTTATTCACTTAGACCACAATGTCTGTGGGTTTCTTTGAGGCTATGTAGAGAGTATAAGCCATTCATTACAAAATGCCTTTTCTAAATCAAGGGGTAATGTTGGTAGCCAGTGGTTAGCTTGCAACCAACATGTGGCTTCTGACATCAGAACGTTGTGGAGGGACTGTCTATTTTTATGTAGTGTGGAAAATATCTACTCTTTTCAGATGTTCCTTCCATGAGGGTTTGTGAATCGGATGTTAGAATGGAATCAAGAGGCGATGCTAAGTTTGTGTTCTGAAGGGCTCCCTGGTTTACTTGAATGCATTTGTTTTTTTTACAAAGGTACACGCTCCAAGCTGGGACGAAGACACAGTATGGAAAATATGGAACTTATGAAGTTAACACCAGAAAAGGTTGGCAGGCCTATGTTTAAATTTCCATGAACTGTAACCGTATTTCAGTAACTTTTAAGTGGAAGAGGTTAGGCTTGTCCTATGTGGAGATCGCTTAAAGATGTGTTTTTAACTAGAACCAGAAAAAGTCCAGTGCAGAAGGAATGAGAAGAGCATGCTGTCGTGTGCTAATAAAGATAAATGCATATGTATTCTTTGTAGGTGCGTGCAGCATTTCTGGAAAAGTACATAGCAAAAGTTACAGTAGCTGCTTCTAAAAGTGCCTGGGATAGGCTAGAAATATTTTATAGGCTATTTTAAACTGTTTGAACATTTTGTCTTGTGTAAAAAAATATTTTTAATTGAAAGGATACCAGGTAGATTAAAAGCAAGAACGATACCTCTCGTCATTCACTTACATAACAGCATCACTGCAGAGCTGTGCGTGAACAGGTGTGTGCTCGTGCGTTCCCAGGCTGCACGTGTGGACGTCAGGGAACAACTTGCTCTTGCACCTCTTAACAGAACGTTGGTGTGTGCCAGCGGTGGTCAGTAGAAGCCAGAAGACGGCCTGTATGAGTCGGTCCCCTCCCTCCATCATGTGGGTCCCCGGGATCGAACTCAGGCCATCAGCCTTGGCAGCAAGCACCTTTACCTGCTGGGCCCCTTCCCAGCCCCCACCTTGCCTTCTGAGACGGTGTCTCCCCTGCTCCGCCCTCTTTCCCTCCCGCTCTCTTCTGCACAGAGTAGCCCAAGCTAGCCAGCCGGTCCACAAGCCTCTGGCTGATTTTCATGTGTTCACCCTCCTCCCGCTCCTCCATGGGGAGCTCTGGGATTACTGACTTTTTCTTTTTGTGTGGTTCTGAGACTCAAAGCATCAAGTACTTGTACTGCAGAACCCTTTTCCCCGCCCCGTGGAGCTTTTCCACCTTTTAGCTGAAGTGCCTTTTATTTGAGATGCTGTGTTTGTGTTTGTGTTTTGAGACAGGGTTTCTCTGTGTAGCCCTGGTTGTCCTAGAACTCACTCTAGACCAGGCTGGCCTTGAACTCACAGAGATCCACCTGCTTCTGCCTCCCCAGTGCTGGGATTAAAGGTGTGCACCACCACCGCCCAGCATGTTTGTTTTTGTTTCTGACAGTAGATGCAGAGAAGAGATTATGATTGGAAGCTGTTATTGGAAGACAAATCAAGGCTATTTCCACTTTGATTCAGCTTAATTTACATTGTTGAATAGACCTTTGTTGCTTTGTATTATATAGAGTACTTTCTTTTTTTTTTTTAATTCTATTTATTTTACATCCTGGCTGAAGCACACACACACACACCCAATCCTCCCCTCCCAGCCCCTCACCCTCATCCCTCCTCCCACTCCCCAATCCACTCCTGTCTCCATCCAGGAAAGGGCAGGTCTCCCTTGAGTATCAACAAAACATGGCATATCCAGTTGCAGTAAGACTAAGCACCTCCCCATGTGTTAAGGCTGGGCAAGGTGACCCAGTATGAGGAGTAGGGTCCCAAAATCGAGTAAAAGATTCAGAGACAGCCCCTGCTCCCACTGTCAGGAGTGCCACAGAGGCCCAAGCTCACAACTGTAACATGTATGCAGAGTGCCTAGGTCGGTCTCATGCAGGCTCTGGTTGTCGGTTCAGTCTCTGCCAGCCCGAGTTAGTGAGTCTTCCCATGGTGTCCTTGACTCCTCTGGCTCCTACATTCCTTTCTCCTCATCCTCTCAGGATTATAAAGTACTTTCTTATAAAATAGATTCATTATAGCAACTTTAGAAAATTAGAAGAAATCAAAAGAATCAGTAATCTCCTATCCCAGTAGTAACCTCAGATATTAATAACTGTCCAGTATTCATTTGAATATTATAGATGCTGTTTTCTAACAAGCTTCGTGCATGAAGAACATCTTTCAGCTGGGCATGGTAGCACGCACCTGTAACCTTAGCTGGCTGAGGCCAGCATGGGCAATGTGTGTGAAAACCAAAGTTCGTCTTTGCATTCCCTTAAATGCTCTTCTGTTAAAACTAGCATATGGTTTTTAAAATATTGATACTTTTCAAATAACTAGCCTCTAAAAGTCCAGATCTAAGATTTTTTTTAAAATTTGAACAAGATGTTTCAAAATGTGGGCCTGGGAGATGGCTCCTGGGATAAAGGTGCTTACCACTCAGCCTCACAGCCTAGGGACAGACTCCCGCAAGGGTCCTGTGTCCTCTCCTTGTGTGCTGTGACACACACAGTCAATAAATGTAATTTAAAAGTAGTTCTAGGGGGATCAGCTTTTTTTTTAATTAAAATTTTTTTTCATTTTACATACCAATCAGTTCCCCTCCCTTCCCTTCTCACCCCACCCACTCTATCTCTTAGAGGAATCAGTTATTTAAAAAAAAATTACCAGGGGGGGTATGTGTGTGATTTTGTCTACTGAGAATTTATTTCATATTAGTGAAATCACTAGTTTTATCAACAAATTACTTATATAAACTTTAGATACTAATTTTTAATTAAAAATTCTACATATACTCACAAGTTTCTGGCTGTAACAGAATTTTATGTAATTTACATCCAGAATACTACTTTGTCTTCTCTGACCATTCAAAATGTATTTTTAAAGGACTTGGGTAAACTTT